TTCACACTCCACCTACTATTATTAGTTGAATTGAATCATCTTGGAGCCAAAACATTGCCATTTTCGTGTACCTTCAAGAGCAAAAAGTGGTGAAATTTTGAAAATTCATTTTGGGCCTAGAGGCAAGGATTGGGCTTTCTTTGGATCCATATCCATTGTATATAACATTTCTAACCTTCACAAATCATCATAATTCGAATTTGGAGGCAAAAAGCTCAAGAACAAAGTTGAAAAAGTGTTGAAAATTCAAGAGTTACAGATGAAGTGGATGCAACTAGGGTTCCATCCGGGTAATCCTAAGACAAGTTGAGCAAATCGAAGAGGGTCAAAGCCCATTTATAAGTCATTGAGATCTTTAGATGATATGTCAAAGCATTTGAGACATTGTTTCAAGTCTAATCAAGAAGAATCAAGAGTGGTTGGAGTTGCTAAGTCAGGGTTCCTAGGGTAAAATCCCATGTTTAATGCAAAACTTCCAGGTCATGTAAATCAAGAGATAAGTCTCAAATGACTTTGACCTCCACATGAATGTTGTGGAGGATGTTCATAGCTTTAATTTGAGTACTAGAAGTCATCCATATGATTTATAGAACTCAAGTTACAAGCCAGACAAGTTACAAGTCCTCGGATGCATCTGAAATTTGTCTGCGAAAATCATCTGACTTCCAAGCTATTTTTGACCTAGAAGGAGGTTTCACCTGAACTTTTGGCCAACATGAAAAGTTGTTCCTCATGATCTTAGCTTTCTAAATTGTACTATAAGTCTTCCATCTGATTTGTAGAACTCAAGATATGAGGTTTATAAGTCAGGGGTATTTTAGGAAGGTGAGATTATATGTCATTTTCAATCGTAGGTCAAAATCTCCAACTTGCACTCTTCAAATGGAGATTTGTTCAACATGAAAGTTGCTTAAAATGGAATTTTAAGTGCAACCAAGTGGTCATGTGGAATTGGTTTGGCTCATAGCAAAAAGTCACTTAAAATGGCCTAAAAAAGGGAATTTTTCAAATGGATTAAGGAGGGAAAATTGACTTTTTGAGTTAGAGGACCAAAACATGTCATATGAATACATTTTTTGAATGGAAATCACATTCTAAGCACATTGGCATTGGCAGAATTTTGAGCATAGGCCAAGGTTTGGGAGTTGTCATTTAGATTACTTCACCATGAAGTTACATAATCAAAAACAACCATTGGATCAAATACAAGGATCAAATCCCAGCCCTTCACACTCCACCTACTATTATTAGTTGAATTGAATCATCTTGGAGCCAAAACATTGCCATTTTCGTGTACCTTCAAGAGCAAAAAGTGGTGAAATTTTGAAAATTCATTTTGGGCCTAGAGGCAAGGATTGGACTTTCTTTGGATCCATATCCATTGTATATAACATTTCTAACCTTCACAAATCATCATAATTCGAATTTGGAGGCAAAAAGCTCAAGAACAAAGTTGAAAAAGTGTTGAAAATTCAAATTTCGAATTCTCCGATTTACTCCGTTTCAAGTTGAATTGAAGATTGTAGAAGCTTTATTGTGGATCATTGAACGTGTTTGGATCATTTTCTTCAAGCTTTAGCAAGGATTGAAGGCTCGGTGGAAGTTCTCCACTAGGTAACTTTAATTTAACCTTACACTCTCAATACTTGATGATTCTTCGCCATTTTTGTTGCATTACGATCCTTGAAGCATGTAGATCGATTATGGATCATAATTGTTTGCGTTTGTGACGATCGATTTTCGGAGCTCCAAACTTGTTGTTTCGGTTTGATCATTTCTTGAGGTGTTTTGCTTGAATTTTCATGGATCTATAACCTACATAACATGAGAATGATGTTAGGATAAAATTAATTGAGTTTTGATGAACTTTTGTTTTTGTGCACCAAACTTGTTGTTCGTTTTTCTCTTTAATGGTGAAGAATCAATGAAAAATAACGGTAGATTTGGATTCCTTGTCGCGAGTAGACAAATTTTCATATAAAATTTGTAAAAAACGGATGAAAATTGCATTTAGTGTGTGTTATTCATGAACACATGGTGGTTGGACAAAGGAAGAAGACAACCGGAGGGGTTCCGGCGGCGGTTTCCGGCTGGGGAGGGGGAGGCCGCGCGGCCGTTGGATTTGGCTGGAGAAGGAGACCAAGTCTCCTGATCCAAGGGCGCGTAGAGCGCCACGTGTGCAGAATGCCAAATAGCGTCGTTTTAGTCAAAAGGGGGAGGGGATGCACGCGGGTTCAACTCCCGCTGAGTGCATTTGCCACTTTGCCATTTGCTATTTTGTGTTTAGTTTTGTTTATTTATTTCTTTTATTGTTTTATTTGGTTTGCTGATTTTAGAATTTCGTATGGGCCTAGCTGCTATCCGCCCCCTCCTTAAGCCCAGTCCATTTGTTTGCACTTGTTTTGTTTGCTAGTTGCACCATTTAATTAGTATTTTCGTTTTTAAATTCTGCTTTGCATGCTGTTACAAATTAATTCGAATAAAATAGTTCCAATATCATAAAAATTCCCAAAAAATATTTTTCATAAACCTTGAGATGTCTAGTTCATTCTGAATATTTTTATTTTATTTTTTTAGTTTATTTTCTATTTTTAAATGAATTAAATACTGGAGCTGTTTTATTTGATTTAATTTGTAGTTCTGTTCTTTCTTGATTTTATTTCCATGCTTATTTTCTTATTTTTGCGTGATCCATTTTTGAGCATTGTTTTAACATGTTAATTGATCTTTGGATATTTTTTTCATAATTTTTAAGTGCTGTTTCCATGTGATTTGAAGTGCTTTTTGTTCTCTCTCCATTTCTGCCTTGGTTTAGGACACTCTTGGTGTTTGCCCTTTGTTGTGGCCTTTCCCTTTTGATTTTCAATCCCTCCTTTTGACCCCTGGTTCCTAGTACCTTGGGGGTCCTTTGAGATTTTAATTGGCATTTTTAGATGCATTTTCATATTTTTCATGTAGTTTGCAAGTCGCTTCATGTGTGTGCTTCTCTACTTGTGCACTTGGTTTGTTTTGCTTTCAAAAGCTTGGTTGTGCATTATTGATGAATTAATTCTGATTGTTTCATGTTAGGGGCTTGTTATAGGTCTTGTGTGTTGATTCATAGGTCTTTAACTTGTGCATAAGTTGTTCATTTGATTTCATACTTTCATGTTTGCATATTGTGTCCATATAATTGGTGTTTACTTGCATTGTTTGGTGTTATTGTTGGCATTTGCTTGTGATGTTTTACTTTAACTTTTGAGATCTCTTCTTCTCATCCCTATTCTGTCCAATGACCTTGGTGTGTAATTTAAGGTGGCTTGGTCCCTCCTTAGGAGGAACTTGAAGTTTACCTAAAGTGATGAATCCATGAGGACTTTTTCTCATTGTTTTTGTCATTTGTGTATTTGCTTTTGATGCATCTTTCTTCTACCTTTTTCTTGCATTCCCATATGCATGCTTGGTCGAGACGAGCTTGTGGAGGCCGCTGCCCCACACACCTTTTCCTCCCACTTTCATTCTAATTGTGCATTCGATGTGTGCATTCATTCATTTGCATGTTTTATTTGTCATTTCTTCTTCTTCTTTTGTCTTCTTTCCCTTAGGATTTCTAACCTCTCTTGTTTAAGAGGGGTTATGATAGACATTTAGGTCCTAAACATGCATGATAACATTAGGTAAATATTTCCCTCTTGTAATCCCAACTTTAGGTGCATTTTGCATGACAACTTTTAGGGTTTGGTCCAGTCCCCCCTTAGTTTGTCCCGTTCTCTTCTCATCTTCAAACAACTTCAATTCACTTAATAAATGCAATGGATGTTGTGCCATAAGCCTTGTACTTGGGAAATGGTGATTGAGTGGCTACCTCTCAATTGCCTAGAGTGTTTAGTGTACGTCCTTAGGACGATATGCGACGCATTCGATCCTAGGTTTTAGACTTTGTTATAACATACATCATGAACACTCTAATTCAAAACACTTCTTCCTTAAAAGACTTCAAACAAACAATTCAAACTCTTTTTGTCCTCTTGGACTTTTAATCAAGAAAAACCCTTTCATAAGGAGATAAAAAAATGTCAGACAAACCTGTGTCTTCCGTAGTTACCCGAACTACGTTTGCTCTAATCTTTCATGCCGTGTGAAAGTACGTAGGCATAAGACGTGATGTCTTAGCGAGCAACCTTCCCTCCTTTCCCGTTGTCATACCCCAAATTTGTCCTACCTTTGTACAATCTCTATTCTGTATATTTGCCCACTTTCTTTATTCAAAAAAAAGTCCAAAATATGTTGTTATTTTCAATTGAGGATGTCAGGTCAGACGCATGGATAATGGCTTAGGTCACCTAGTTCAAACTAATTTTGCACAGAGTTTTCAGTACAGTGCATATCTGAAGGCATTATTTGTGGTATCGAGGCATTATTCTTGGATTTCAAGGCAACTAGGCTTTTGGGTCATGGCAATATGATTTCACTCCCTATTTAATAACAGTTAAGTAAAGTGGACTGTGTTTTTGATTCAAATTTAAAGTATGAGTGCAAGAATCGACTAATGCGGGGAACCAATTCCGTCGACATTGAGGTTTAATCAAATTTACAAGGTCCATTTTTATTTCACGAAAGTTCTGCAAGGAAATGAGGTCTATTATTATTATTATTACCAAAGCCCAGGATTTAAGAAAAGTCAAAATCATTTTTCCTAATATTCAAAAAGTTTACATTTTTCTTCTCTTTTCTTTGTTTGTCCATTTTCACTTCATTGGACACTCTCTCTGGCCACTCAACACCTACATCGGTATTGTTCTTGTTTCATCCCAAATACACAAAAATCCTCATTTTCTTTGATTCTTTCATCCCTAAAAAGATAAAACGGCTTTTCAATCAACAATACAAGAGTGGAACAAAAAGTATTAATCGCGTTTTCAATCACAGAAGACAAAACGGGTGATTTTGCTAGAAAGAAGAAAGCCGTTCAGGCTTGGAAGAAGCGAGTAACTCAGTTCCAACCCTTTGGAAATTGTCTCATGGAAAGGAAGATGCATTGTGCGCCTCAACCAAAAGGTAATGATAGTCCAAAAGTTTCAGAAGCGGGAAAGAATTCCAAATCAACAACGTATCAGCAACAAGACAAAGTTACATCTCTAGAAGTCACAAAACATTCTCAAGGATCTTCTGTTTCAAAGATCAACTCTGATAGTAGGTGTGCAATCCTTACATTCCTTAGTGTTGAGCCTGATGGAACCTAGAGAATTCTTGCCGTTCCAGTGCAGTGTCTCAATCACATTAACCTAGCTTCTGGAATTAATATGGATGGTCTGCAACTTCTTTTCCCTCCACCAGCTCCTCTTAACCGGTCGAAGAACGATCAACGCAAGGGGAGTAGAAGACAGGTGCCTCTGAGTGCTTATACGGCCAAATCATATGAAAGAAGTTTTACCGGTTCAAATAACGTTCGTCGTAGATGTCAAAATAAAGTAGCTAACAAAGCTTGTAAACTGAAAGAACTTCCTGCAGATTCTTGTGCGCAAAGTTCGGTAGTTAGTAGTAGCCCTAGCTCGTCACCTCATAGTTCTGCTTCTGTTATTTCATCCGATAAGTGGATGAGTAACACCAATGAAGATAAGTATCTGAAGAAAGCCTCGAGAAAAAGGGCCAGAAAGAAACAGATAAAGAACCAATCAAGTGAAAGTGGATCTAATGATAGAGAAGTTCGTACGGAGGAATACGGGTGTGCAAGTTTGACTTCCGAAACCTGCAGCAGCAATGATGTGGATACAACTGCCCCAGAATTTTCGTCTTCCGACGATAGGTTCAAGAAAAATGATTATGAAAGGAATGAGATGAATGACAAAGTCAATGTTATGGATGCACCGAAACGCTGTGACCCTTGTATCGAGGAGACAGTGATGTCAAAAGCTGAATCAAAGGGTCAGCTTCACGATAGAGAAACAAAGGATTCTCAAGAGGTTGAGCTATGTGGTTTTAATGATGTACAAGACTCTTTAGTGTTAGATGCAGTTTCGATTGGTTCCAAAAGCGATGAAAGTGTCCATGGTGGTCATATAGGAAAACAGTCCAACAAGGCAACCAAAAGGGCAAGAATAACATGTGAAGCAACTCATATGATTCAACCTTACACCAAAATGGAATAGACAAGCTCTGCACAAGTTGTACAAAAAACCTGCTACACACAATACCCTGCATCCACCACATTCGTATACACCAGCTGCCAACCATTCTGCTACCAGACAACAACCTCCTAAACAAGCCATGCCAAACATACTCTGCACCAAAGCCCACTCCAGACCAAAACTCTGTCACAACCAGCCAAAACTCTGCTACACTACCCTGCTACACAAAGACAGATAACAGAGCCAACAGACTAAAAGAAAAAGGGGGGAACTTCTTCATAAAAACCTTAACTTCATCAATAAAGAGAGGAGGAGAAGGCATCAACTATCATCAATAGACATCTTCAAACTTCAACCCTCTTCTCTTTAACAACCAATCGTAAACAGAACCACAGACAATACCGATCAACTTCAACCTTTTAACTAAAACTCTTCAAAACCCAGCTCTGACTCCACAACCATTCATGCTAACCTTCATAAATCTCCATTGAAACAGATCCGAAAACTCCTTCGAAACCCAGCAAAAACTCATCGAACCAAACTTCAAATGAACCCAGCAAACATCTTGCACTACTTCAACTCAAATCAACCACCTGCAAATCAAACCTCATCTCATTCTATGAAAGAACACTTGTCTGGTGCACCACACGGTTAAACTTTTATTCCCAGCTTTCATACAACACTCACAAATTCCATAACTCCCCTCAAAACATAAAACCTGTTCTTCTTTCTCACAAAACCCTCAACCATTGAATATCAACCCATCCCTGGAACCAACGAAAAACCATCAAAACAAAAAATCAAAAACTCCTTCACCACCATTATCATTCCCAAATCCACCTCCAATCTTCGTCATTTTCAATTCGAATCATCCGAACCTTCATCCCGTTTCACTAACAGAAAACCCAACACAAACCCGACATCTTCTACCTCCCACCATTCAAACAAATTCCTCCATTAACAAAGCTCTCAACCGAAACAACCACAACAAACCCAATACGCAACATCGCCTCCGCCGTGTCCATCTGAAACCCCAGAACCGCATCCGTTTCCAACCCTAAAATCCCATATCAAAAGACAGAATCAGAAAGAGAAGAGGGAAAACGGATGTCGATTTGAAACGAGAAAGAAAATGACGAATTGAACGAACCTTTACAAATCTGGAAACAAAACTGAGACAGAGCCAAATGAACACGAACGAAGACGAGGATAGAGATTCGCGAGACGAAAAGTTGATATTGCTTTCCATGGTTTGTCTGGTCCGTTGAAGGTCACGCCGCCGATTGAAGCTTTTTAGGTTTTTACTTTCGATTTCACCCTGATGATGATGAGCGTTTCATTTCAAGTTTGTTAGATTCATTCCTACCTTTTTTTAAAATTTCTTTATCTTGTTTTTTGTTTTATTTTCAATTACTTATTTTGTTTGTTATTTATTAATTAAAGTTTTATGTAAATGTTATGTTAATTTATTTCTTTAGCAAATATATTGATTCATTTAGTTAATATTATAATTCTCTAAAAAGCTATTTTTATTTTTTGTATATATTACTTCCATGATATTTAACATATTAGCTTTATTTCATTTTAGTAGTATAATAGGGTTATATATCTATATATATTAGTTCTTATTTTATTATTATTTCTATTTAAAATTTCTTATACCTTATTTTTAAAGTTGAATTCCATTTCGCATTTGTTATTGGGCATTTTGTCCCATTTCATCTGTTTTGGGTCGATGACGAGACCTCCGTAATTCATTACCAGTCAAATTATTGATAAGTAATGTTGGATCTGAGACCACCTCTTTTTTCTCTTCATTTCTTGTCCCGACTTGATTCAAAAACTTTGTCAAACAATTTTCACAATCAAATTATCTTTGTATTGAATTAAAAAGAGGGGATTAAGTGTAGACCTTCTTCCTCTCCGAGTGTTGGGATGCCCACTGTAGTGAGGGTGGTTCTGACACTCGTTTTTCAATACGAAGACGTTTCCCATCCATGTTCGAATCTCATCTCCTTAAAATCATTCCTTTGTGTTGAGCTAAAAGAGGATTGGGTGTAGACCTCTTCTTCTTCGAGCGTAGGGATGCCCACTGTAGTGAGGGTGGTCTCGATGCTCGGCTGTCAATACGAAGGCGCTTCCAACATTTCCTCATAAAACCTCGGTCTCGTACCGAGTCTACTTTCTTTAAAATAAATTTCTCTTTGTATTGAACTAAAAAGAGAGGATTGGGTGTAGACCTCTTCTTCTTCGAGTGTTGGGATGCCCACTATAGTGAGGGTGGTCTCGATACTCATCTTTCAATACGAAGATGCGACTTTGTCCACCACCACCTCGCTTTCACAACTTTATCCTGCAACCCTTTTTCACACCTAAAACCTCGGTCCTGTACCGAGTGCATTTTCAAATCTTTTCATAACGAAAACTTGAATGGTCGTGGAGTGGTTAGGCGTAGGCCTTCTCCTATCCTGAGTGCTGACATCTACCGTAGGGTTCTCTGTCGCAAAAAGCACTTACCATTCAAAACCAAAAGCATCTTTAATAAGAGAACGAAGTTCTCTTTGTATTGGATTAAAGAGAGAGGATTGGGTGTAGACCTCTTCTTCTCCGAGCGTAGGGATGCCCACTGTAGTGAGGGTGGTTTCGACGCTCGTCTTTCAATACGAAGACGCCTCGTTCGCCACACTCTCTTATAACAAAGCCTTGAGACAATGAATTGGGTACTACCCGTAGGGGTTACTATCCGAGGACCTGTCTCGCCCCCTAAAAAACAATCCAATCAATCAAATGTGACTTCTAGCCCCGCGTGGCGAAAACTAATCAATCTTTCAAAAAGGATATGTTACGTCCGTTCTACCGCAAACAGGTAACGCCTAAGTCTCCAACGAGCGAGCAGCAAAAACACCTAACTGCTAGAATGTGCACGATAGCATCATCCATAAAAAAAACATCAACACACCGTAGGCCGAACTACGGCTGCTCTGATTCTTTACTTTTTCAAGTAAAGATACGTAGGCACAAGGGCCACAATCCTTGCCGAGCACATTCCCCCCTATATCTGTAGTTCCCCGAACTACGTCGACTCTGACTTTCTCACATCTGTTGAGAATACGTAGGCATAGGACTGCGAAGTCCTACCGAGTCCGTTCTTTCTCTTCTCCCCTCCGTTACCTCTCCTTCCCCGTTTCTAAACCCTTCTCTCTATCTTTTAGAACACTCTTTATAGCATAATATTTAAGCAGATAAAATCACACATCGACAAACAAAAGGTTCCCATCGAGTACGATGGATGCGAGGGGTGCTAATACCTTCCCCTCGCATAACCGGCTTTCGAACCCGTTCATGGTTGCGAGACCATCTTATCCATTCTTTTCTTAAGGTTTTCTCGATATTTTCCTTTCCCCTCATGGGATAAATAAAGTTCGGTGGCGACTCTTCTGTCTATCTTTTTCGCCTCCCCGTCGTTGCGCGATGCATTTTTTGAGTAGCGACAGCTGGCGACTTCACTGGGGATTCCTAGCGAGCCAAGCCTATTTTGTTTGTCGTGTTTGTGTTTTATTTGCCTTATTTGTTTATGCTTTATTTTCTAACCTGGTTGGGTTTTATTAGGGTTGGTTTGTGAGGATAAAAGCTTTCTACCCGAGCTTTATAGTATACACTAAGATTAGGAGGTGGTTTCTTTCTGATTTGCGAGACTTAGGACTCGTTGAGTTGGATCGAATTCCACCGCTCAGATGAGACCCCTTTGGGATGATTATGTCTTACGTGTAGTCGTAATGGCGTTTTTACTTCCGACGTGGGAGTCCGTGACTCTGAGGACCTTTGTAGAACCTTATTCCAAAGGTTGCTAAAACATGACTCTGTGTTCATCCTTTGAAAGGATTACCGTCTTACGAGTAGTCGTTCTGATGGAAAACTTTTGAGGGTTAGTGCATGGGACTTTGTTTTAAAATCCTTTGGGATACCCTCTTATTAAACCAGTAGATTGCCCACCCGAGGGGAAAGATACCTTTTGTTGTTGTCTTGCAGGATCTGTGACTTTAATCGTTGTTGTGGATCTGTTCTCGTGTGCACTCATTGCATTGCATTTGCATAAGCATATCTGCATCATTTTG